CCCCAAAACCCCAAAACCCCAAAACCCCTTTTGGGGAATTTTGAGTTGAAAAGGTAATTATGTCATTATTTTAGAGCCTGATTGGTTTGAGATTTATGATTCTGTTTACTTAATTAGTGTAATTTTGAGGGGTTCAAAGGAAATATTTTAATCAATCATTTATTTTTAGTTTCTCTTTTTTAAAGAAGAGGTACTATATAAATAATATCTTGGATTATTGCAGTCTTTGTCTGATCGACTTCAGGGTAAAAATTTAATACCTCAAGATTCTTTAGAGCATTTGGTTTTGTGATATTTATGGTTCTCAAATCTAGACATGAACAAGAGAGTTTGAAATAAATTTGTTCAACAGTAATAATGTCTGCATCAGAGTAACCATCTTCTTCAAATCAACAGTTCTTAAGCCCAATAGTTGATATTCCTGATGTAAATGGAGCAGAGATATCGAAACCACGATAGGATAAAAATCACCTCGCAAAGGAAATAGTGTGCACTTGCCTACAACTTGCCAATAATCTTTTTAAGCTCCTAGCATTAATCTTCCATCCATAAAAGTTTATGCAATCACTTACGGTCTGTAAGAGCTTGAAAACATCTCCTCTGGGCTCATTTCTGACATTTGTCTGAAGCATCTTTTTAAAGCTAATGGGGTTATTCTGAAATGTGATAAATCTATGCAAATTCAGATTCGTTATATGTTTAGCCAGGAATGAACTATAAACACCTCTAAGTCTCTTCAAGGCAGCTTGGTCAAAGTCGATTTGGACAAAATAAGTAGGTTCTCATAATTGATGTCTTAGCTTAGAAGCCTTATAAAATGAATTGCTCTTCACCAAGTAGTCAAAGATTCCTCTCGTATTATTGTGTACATAGTCCTTGTTGATGCCATACCTAGAGAATACTACTCTCATAAAGGCTTCACCTTCTTCCTGTAGCTGGAGTTCAAGAGGTAGGTATTCTGACCGAGAGTTCAGTAGATACTCCATTTCTCAGAAAAAGATATTAACTATTCCTGTAAATGGGGTTTTGGGGTTTTGGGGTTTTGGGG